ATACAATATACGTGCATATAGGTACTGTGAGTAATGTTCTCCGAGTATGTGTACCCACATACTTACACGTCGTTGTCAGATAATGTTTTATTCGAGAACATTTTTACAATAATTCTTACACTATACATTTTGCATATTAGACTAATTATTTTATTATATTGAATTTTTTTATTATTCTCATAGACTCATTGCACCCCATATAGTTAGGTTACCGCCAGTAAGCCGGAGACCATAAGTACTTTATTCTAGAATATTTTATCAAATCTTGAAAAGGTTTTTAGTTGAATACATGTATATGATTTTGAAAGCTGTTTCGTTTTGTCCTTTTAAAATGTTCAATTTTTAAATAAAAACATGAAAATTATTCATAAAAGTTCATTTATTCTCTATGTCGAGTTAAATTTCAATAATAAACAATAAATATACGTATTCCTAACCTATATGGTTAACCCCATTATATGAATAACCTAACTGTTCTAACCATTGCGTAATGTATTTAAGATGAATGCGATTCAAGTAGTAGTCCAGAATTCGGTCGGTGAGGCTTATGTAATAACTATTAACTAGTATTAAACAATATGACAAATCATTATTATTAATGGAATATGTTTATGCTGTATTGCAAATGCAATATAGCAGATAGTTTGCCACAGTTTAGCGTTATGGTCTCAGTGCAGTATTTGTGTAGGTTAGTATGTTAGATACCTATATGTGTTATCATTATGTATATTGTAATAACGTAGTTCCTATACGTGTTAAGTAATAATAATCACACAAATAATGATGTTTAAATCCAAGTGTAAAACACAATAAATGTATAATACTTATTTTTGTATTTTTTATATAAAAATATTAAATACTTACAAATAATATGTAAAATATTAAACCAATTAACATTTAATACATTTAAAATCATCAATTATTTTTGTATACATTATAACTACGAACCCTAAAAAAAGAGAAGCGCTGATGATAATTTTATAATAATTGTATTTATTAATTTTCTATTTAATACAAAGAAATTAAACTAAAAAAGTTTCAATATTTATGTTCAAATATTATATAATTAACGGTTTTACAAATTGTAATTTTTAGATTTTTTTTTATTTCACCTAATCCTAAGGATAAAGAAGCTAATTGGGTTAGCAAATGTAAAATACATTTTTAATTGAAGTATTTATTATTATATTAAATGATCTGTGAGTATATTTATATTAATATTTAATTAATAATTGAAAAGTACATTTAAATAGGTAATTAATTAAATATTTTTTCATTCGAGTAATTAAAATAGGTATTTAGATGGGTACTTTTAAATTGTTATAAGTGTGTTGTATTGTCGCTTTTGGCACTGCAGCTGTTATCGTACCTATATTATTATATATATTATTATTATATATATTGTTTAAGGCGAAATAGGTAGGTAGTAGGTGCCTACATAATATATAGAATCATCGAGTTATTATTGTGGGCTTATGAGATGTATATAACTATAGTTTGTACTCGTTTTTTAATATCCGTGTAAAATGTAAATATACAATGCCAATGTGTATTGTCATTTTTTCGAGCCAATAAGCGATCGGTTTTGGTAATAATTATTGAAGTACACTGTACATCCCATATTTCAATGTAGGTACCTTACATAATAGAATTGTATTTATGCTCTCTTTGTAAGATTATTATGCATCACGTGATATAATATTTGAAATTGTCGAGGGACAAGGCGCTTTTGCACACAACGAAATGCCATTATACCTTGTTAGTTTCACGACTCGTTTGCGCACATTTTCATCTTACATATTTTGTAAAACTCGTGTATGACCTTTTCCTTTGTGTAAAAGATTACCTAGATTCTAAAGAACAGTCTCAAATACACACATAGATATATTATGTTTATAGCGCACCTACTCTTCATCTATGTATTATCTGTTATCTATATAGTACATAGAGGTACACCACAATGTACACATATTTGGTTTGTATGATTTGAAAACAACGAAATTACCCTTTTTTGAGTAAAGATAAGTGTCTTTACTATCACATCATTTTAAGTTCAAAATTCAAATAATAATAATAATAATAATATAATATATTAATAGAGAATAACTGCTTTAAAATAAATGTGTACATTCATTTCAAGTAGGTAGATACCTATAAAGTATGTAGGTAATGCATAGTATAATATTTTTGTTCATTTTTTCCTTTGTTACATTAGTATCCGTAGGCGTAATCAGCAGGGGAGGGCAACTGCCCCTTCAGATATTTAACTGAGAGGGCAATAGGGTATTTAGACCCCCTCCCCTTGTCATGAGTTGAAATTAAATATATTACTGTTTTATGTACGCTATTTTTATTAGTACGTATCTGTAAGTTTTCGATTTTTGTATTTTTATACTTCTTGTTTTAATATTTGAATCTTGTCTGTTTAAAAAAAAAACTATCTAATAACTATAATTTCTACTAATTTATTTATTGAGAGGGGGTATTGACCCTCTTTATCATGCCTATACATGATGGATTTTCAGTTTTAAATCAGAGTTACCCAACCCCCCATAAATATACCACTATGTTAGTATTGGTTGAAATTTACCTACCTTACTCTATACAGGAAGATTAAAAAAATATTAAAATACAAGTCATACCCTGTTGAGTGATATTTTTGGTTTTAATCTGGTCAAATAACAAACAATTTGAGATTTTTGGAACAATTCGTAAATGCAAAATTCAATACGTGAAGGCAATTGTAGTACAGCGGCTGTAAATATTATTAAATTAAAATAACTAATAAGTTAATAATAGTACTAGTCATCAGTGATGACTCATCACAAATATGGTATTATTAATTAGGTAGGCATGTAATTTATAGTGTTTCTATACTCCATACACGTTTGTAAGTAGACAAATTAATATTATTAATATCGATTTTATTGATTATATAATAGTTTAATACATTTATGATTAATCTGCGGAAACAAACCACAACTAACTATGTATAATGTTTACATAAAATTTATAAATTTAAAATATAATTAACTAATAAAATTTAAAAAATTAAAACAATATGGTTGATGGAAACATACACATTACTCGTTTACATCGTCCAGGAATATAATAATTTGTATATTATAATATTAAAACTACAAATACCCGTAGCTCATGACCACAACAGTATAACATACTCTATATGAATAGAAATTATTAAAAATTATAGACTTTATTATCCAACAAAAAGAAGGAGGAAGACATTTACAATATTTTATGGTGGAATCCATCTACTGATCTAATAGGTAATCATAAAATGGAAAAAGAATAATATAATTCTTTAAAACGTATCTCGACGTAAAAGACTTTAAAATTCTTAATAAGTTCTCAGCTACAATAATGTATAAATAAGTTTTTATATACATTGTTATAGGTATATCACTAATAAATATATAAACTTATTTAGCGTTCATCGAGTTATAAGTCAAATCACATTTACAACACGAAAACCTTTGAACAAAAATAAAGAAATATTCTTACACATAGGTAGGTATACAAAAAAAATTGAGTATTTGACTGTATGTTATAAATTATAATATTATTCTTATATAATTTAATAACGTGCAGACACAACTACTATTCTATTTTATACTACACAACTGAAACGGTAATTAATACAACAACAAAATCGTTATTAATGATTACCGTGAATATTGTTTGATGTTTGTTAATTATAGCTAGTGAAGGTATAGTTAAATAGTTAAGGTAACTATTATCCTCTTACCAAATACACATACCTATTATTAGTATATATTATATTATTATGTAAATTGTTAACTATTATAATATTAAATTTTAGTATATATTGTTAAGTCTAAGGGTACGTTTTAGTTGATAGTAATACTGTTTGCTCTAATATTTCTTGTAAACGGTGTTGGCATCGTTTTATACATATCGGACTTTGTTTTACAAATTAGAAAAAAAAATTTATTTTTATTTTTATTAATCACCATTTGTCACGATGAATACATTTTCAATGACAAAAGAAATATAGCACATAATTAAATATAAATAGTTATTAATATTATCAATAATTTATTTTACCACCTAGATAATATATATGGATTCATTACACACTATATACAGGAAAAAAATCAAGTAGGTAAATAGTAAGTAAAATAATATGGTTTATTATTGTTTTTGGCTCATTACTAGTTATTTTCTAAAAAGACTGATGAAGACATATTGTATTATATGGAAACTCTCTGTGCACTGATTATTATACAGCCTAAAGTTATTAAGCCTTTATTAATAAACCTTATTTTTTAAGCAAAATTAATTTATTAAGACAAGACAATAATATTATTACAAAAATAGTACGTCAAACGTACAGTCTATGCCTTAAAGACGAGAACAACACCTTTATCGTAGGTATACATTATTATAAGCTGCAGCATATACCTAGTTAATTTAACCTGTACTTTCGAGGTAATTACCATAAACGAGTAGCCATAAAGTAAAAATCAAGAACAATCTAACGCGAGCCATTTATATGTATACATTAGGCAGGTATACCATATACTATTATAGACCATCGATGTATATAAAATATTATGTAATGATCGTAATAAAATAGAGTGATATTATAAATAAGTACATATTGTACTACATACATATATACTGTGTGGTGTACGTATATATAATAATATATGTGGTCGTAGGAAAAACAATTATTATTATTATTAATTATTATTTATTTATATATTTTTTTAAGTTCCGTCTTAGGTGCATTTTTTGATTTTAGTGACTCTACCAATAATAGCAATAATAATAAAAACAATGTCGAAAACATGAATATATTTCGTTATGTGACGACGTCACAACAATAATGTACATAATTATATATGATGTATGACAATAAAATATTAAATGCGCTTATTAGGGTATTGTAAAATTACACTCGTGCGGAAAACGGGTATTTAGTGCCTCTGCATAGTATGTATAATAATATACTCGGGTACTAAACAACAACAAAATTAATATTATTATGTTAAAATATAATATTATAATATTGTCCTCTGACGACTGAAAATATATTCGAGACGTTTCTCGCGTATGTGTGTGTGTGTGTGTGTGTGTGTGTGTGTGTGTGTGTAAGAATCAAAAACGGCTAACCCCTAACCCTTCTTTATGTATACATATTTTTCGTGTTTTGTAAATTTTCGGTAAACAAAGAGAGTGTGGAAAAACGAGCACTTAACCACGAACCGTATCCAGCTGTTATCACTTATCCGACCGACATTCTAAAAACGCCCTGTATACACGCTTGTTGTATACTCTGATGTCGCTCATCAGGTGCGCGTTCAGGGCTGTCGGCCGCCTGCAACCGGTGCGGCCAACGATTGGGTCGGCGACAACGATGGCAGCGGTGGTGGCGGCGGCGGTGGAGGTGACATCGTCGTCGTCGTCGTCGTCGTCGTCTTTTCGGCGGCCACCGGTTGTACGGCGGGAAGCAGCAGACACGACTGTTTACATCCCAATATGCGCAGCTTGTTGTCCCGGCTGAGGCGCGGACTCTGCGCGTGATGCACCGCGGCCGCGCACTGTCCATCGCGTGACGACCGGTGACGGTGAAGATGTTGGCCAGCGACTCCGTCGACGCCTCCGCCGATGCCCGCAGCACCAGCACCGACGCCGGTGTCATCGCCGTCACCGGCGCTACACTGCTGTAGCATGTCCGTGAACGTCTTATTCTTGGGCGGGACAGTCCGCCGCAGCGTGGGTGTGCGTATCCTGTCCAGGCTGTCGTCGGGCACGAAACTGGCGTCGTCCAACCACGAACCGGACAGCTGTTGCTGTTGGCTCTGTTCAAACTCGCCTGAGTAGATGACGTTCACCGATCCACCGCCACCACCGGACGTCGCGTCATCGGCCGAAGACGACGCTCCAAAGTCGCATCCGCTGCCGCCGCACTCGTCCGTCATCCGTCGGTGGCGGGGCTGATGTTCGCCGCCCGGCCAGAACGATGGCTGCCGGAACTTACGTGTCCACGGCCACTGGACCGGATGTTTGCGCACGTACTTGTACAGCGTCAGCAACAGGAACCCGAGCACGACAATGAAGCACAACGGTCCCACCGTCGCGTATATGAAGAAGTCGATGTCCGCGTGCCGGTCACTAACCACGGCCGTTGTCTCCTCCATCGATTGTGGCTTTTGCGATTTCAGTGACATGAATCTCTCCACCTGCACACAGCGTGATCCACCGAAAAAATAAACAATCATTGTTATTGTCATCATCATAGTATTAGAATACGTTAACACAGACATTATCTGCATTATTATTATAATAATATATTAATATGGCTATGTTCGGTATAATTTGTAACTTATAATATAGTATTGGGCTTTACACTTTGTCGGTGTTAAGTATACGAGAGATTGGCAATTCCGACAAAATATTTAAATTTAAGTAAACATTCATAATACAAAATATTTTTAAAGAATGAAACTATGGATAGTTATGGCAGTGAATTTAGTCAATAATTTATAAACACAATTTTAACGATCGCAAAATTCGTCCAAAGGTATCTTCTCGATATTCTTGACGAGCTTTTAGACTATACTCATATATATGATATAATCACTGGCGTAGTCAGTTGGGGATTTTGGGTGTCCCCCTCCTTGACATTTTTTCCCCTAGTAAATGTATTACTGTGAAGAACATAGTTTAATTTATATTTAAACCCCCCCCTCCCTCCCAACCAAGTATTTAAAAATCCTGGTTACGCCACTGAATATAATAATATCGTCTCGTATAGCGACAATGATATACAGTACCTATACTTCAGAATGAAATATTACAATGTCTACTGCAGGTTTTTTTGAAAGTCAACTAAATAATAAATTTAAAATATACAAAACGTTTCGGAAGCGTAGTGGATACTAGAGATTTTCATCTTTTGTTTTTGATACTATTCGTATTGTTCTAGTATGATCGGTGAATACGTAAAATAAAACTATTAAAAGTGCGTCGATATAATATTTTAATACCGTTACTTTTTTGCTCTTTTTAATATAAGTCAAGTGACAAGCACACACCCAGATAGACTAAGTAACACTACGCATACAACTATATAGCCGTTTATATGAATGTATATAGGCTTATAGGCATGTAGCTAATAATTTCCCAATGTTTAAAGCATGGAAGTTTATGATTAAATGTCAATTTCAGTGATTCAATTTTAAAAGTTGAAGTTTATGGTATGTTAAAGTAACACATTCCTTAATAAAATTTTTTTATTAATAATGCTACCTATTTTATTCGCGTCGGATTCTGATTTAAAAATATAAAACGAAAATGGTACCTATAATAATGTTACGATTAATCCGAATATTTAAACGTATTATACAATATTTAGTCTTAGATGAATAAATTATTGAGAGTTTACATTTATTTATATTTTTAATCTCGATCTAATTTTTTTTAAATATCCGGTAGAGTTCTATTTTTATATAAAAACTTCTGTAGCGGATTTAATTATTTTACAACATTATAATTTGTTGGTAAGTTATAAATTAATCCCAACTCATTTTCAACAAATGTTATTTGCATTTTTCTTTTAGGTTTCATTTATTCAGATGAATATTCCACAAACGAAAATTGTATATTTTATGTATGGAATTATGAATTACACGCATACCTAGCATTTCTAAAACTCAGATATTAATATTAACACGAAAACGCTTTTTAATATTAAATTATTTAGATTGTCTGAAAGTCGTTTGTCGTTAGGAGTTTTATTAATAAACAAACGTTTCATTATTTTTTTATCCTCGGTTTATATTATATAGTCATGTAGATATTATAATATTAGATTGAATAACATTATATTTGTTCAGAATACCGGTGTTGGTGAGTTGCGGCCCGATCCCTAAATAACGTACGAATTGCGGCCCGTGTTTATGAAACAGACGTGCGAGTTGCGGCCACATTTTACATTTTATTTATCACTTCATATCAGCCTATTAGCGTTACCCAGAAGACACCACGAGAATGTTGGCTGAGTCGTCTCCCAAAAATTTGTTTTTTTTTTGTAAAAATGGCAAAAATGGAAAATGGAAAAATGGCAAAATGTATGGTAATTTATGGTAAAATTAATTTTAATATTTATGTAAAATATGTAAAAATGTAAAAATATTTATTGGTCGGGCAAAAACTTAAAACTTAATGATTTGACGAAATCAAACTGCTCTATTTCTTTTTGTGCTGGCTTTGTCATCTGTTGTCTTATAAATGCTTCTTTTTCACATATTTTCTTCGTTTTTATTCCATTGCTTCTACATTTGATATACGTTTCTGATTGAATTTCTACTATCACATCAATAAAATTATAGATGTTAGGATGACTAGAGTAGAACGATGAATTTAGGTGTGAATGAAAACTTTCACAGCCGTTAGTGGTACGGTTAAAACTAGCAGAGAACTGTGAAAATAAATAAATTTCCCTGGCCGCAATTAACTTATTGATAAAATATGACCGGGCCGTAATTCACCGGTCTTCAACACGTAAATGACATGTCGGGCCGCAACTCACCTATAGCCCAGAATACACATATAGCCCTACACCATATTTGCAAAATTATGCTCAAACGATGTAATGCAACCTTTAGAGTTTAAACGATACATATATAATAATTATGTTACGGGCAATGTGTACATTGCCCGGTCAGTGTGGTCCTACCTGGGCAATGTAAACCACAAATTTTTTTTTAACCAACTAATATTATTTCTTCTCATTATTATTATAAATTATAATCATTACATGATACATGAATAAAATTAATGATGAATGTTTTTAAAAAAAATCAATACTATAAATAGGTAATGATTATAATTTATAATTTTAATAAAAATAATATTATTTGGTTAAAAAAAAATTGCGGTTTAGATTGCCGGGGCAGGACCACATTGACCGGTATTCCACATTGCCCGTAACACATATATGATTATAATACTACTGTATAAAGACCTAAACCCCGATTTACTCGAGTATAATGGTTTGAAATTCTATATATTTTGAGTAAATAACTTAAAAATAATAAAATACTAAGCAATTGAAAATATTTACAGTACGGGTACTTAGAAATTCCAAAAATTATAATTTGAATAAATTTATCATTGAAAGATTAATGAGGATTAGCAGTGAATCATGCTGTATATTACTAATAATAGCGTAGTTGGTGTTTGAAAAAAAAATACGATAATAGAATAAATGATTTCGCCATGAAGCTTCTGTCGTCCCGCTACAGCAGTTCTTCTTATTCGATTTCCATCAAGTACACGCTCGGCACGCATTAGCAGCGGCACGGCGGCGGTCTTTATATCAATTTGCCGTCTGTCTCTCTCCGTTTCTTTTTCTCTCTCTCTCATTCTCTCTCTCTCTCTCTCTCTCTCTCTCTCTCTCTCTCTCTCTCTCTCTCTCTCTCTCTCTCTCTCTCTCTCTCTCTCTTTCTTTCTCTCTCTCCAACTCACTATAGTCTTTGGGTCCTCTTGTTTTTGTCAGCAACATCAGTGCCAGTGACATGAAGTATGATCCCGGTATGGCGGGAGCCAGTGACACGACAAAATAATGCGTTTCCACATTAAGGGTGGACCGTTTTGTAAAGTAGGTCGCCCGCGTCGGTTGATTTCGAATAACTCCGCGAGAGCATTAATTTGTCGGGCGCTGAACAGACGTGTATATAATACATATAACCTATATATACATACGTGGTTTATGTATATATATGAATTGGAGCACTCAACAAATCCTAGGCTCTTTTGTCCATCGCACGAATACTCGTGCGTGTAAAGTAGGTACTTATGTCACAGCTGAATGACGGTTGCAGTACGTCCATACACAATATCTTTGGTTGAAACAAAAGTTTTTGAATTGTTTGTGTTCCATCAAGGTAAAATCAATATTATGTTTGACATTTTTTATTAAACCCTTAACAAGTCCACCTTAAACTGATACCTACCAAAAACGGTGTATTCTACATAGGTATTAATTAATTACTATATTCAACTAAAACTTACTTGATGTATCATCATTGTCGAGCGTTTTAAAATTATATATTATATCGAATTGTTATTCGTTTAAAAGAATACGAAGGGAATATCGTCAAGCGCCCATGTGTACTAAAAACCGGCCACCCTTGACTTTAATAGTTTTATAAAAATAAATAAATATTTTTTGTTACATTGTAGTTAGAATGATAATTTATCATGGTTGTACTTGAAAATTTCATTTTAATCTAAAAAAACCATTTTGGGGTGGGGACATACCCTGACTTTGGCATTGATCTATAAGACTATAAATACGTATAATATAAGTAGTCGTTACGCAATAAATTATATATCACTTTATAAGTACCTAATTACATGTATAAATTATGCTCTAATTCGGGTTGAGATGCATTTATTGTATAGTTGAGATTTTTTTTAAAATTAGAAACGAGGCAAACGAATTAAGGAGATTGTATATTTGTTTCTGAATACTCGGTCAGTGAAAGATGTACCCATAGGGCCCTCTGATAAAATACGAAATCATTTTAATTTACTGCTACGAACAAAGTATTATAAAATATAGTAGACTATGCAGTAGTATGGACTCAAAAAGAAAATTCTGTGAATAATATTAATATCAGTATATATGCTCGGGATGCTTTTATGTTTTTTTTTAGCACAGAACTATAACGCGAGTCTTAATTTTACCCTGTCTACTTCATAAAACCTTTGTGGGTTAATTATTATTTATACGTTTATATAAATATTAAAAAAATTTTTATACATAATATGAACTTGTTGACTGCTTTTAATTTCACTTCATTTCTTTTTTTTTAATAGAGTATGATAATGATAACGCGATAGTGAAAACGTACTCGCATAATATGTCATAACTTCATAAGCGTATACTGTACGTCATATTGTGCGTAGTTTAATTTTAGGCATGTCGTATTCGTTTGAATGTTGTCATTATATTATTATATTCATTAAACAATTTAATGCGTATACGTCGAGGTTTGTTATTATTGTATATTTTAAATGAAATATTACGATTTAAAAATTTGTTTCACCTATGTATTATTTTTTCTTCTCATAAAAATTAAATACTTGGACTACTTGATTAATATTTAATCGACCAGGCTTTTGAAATTCTAAATCAAACGTGTTTCGTTGGTCATAATAACTGTCTAGAATCGTAGTTTTTTTTAAAATTTTTTTATTAAAAATAACTATGTCAGTGAGGGCGATGCCGTAAACGAGCAGTATTGATCAGAAAGACTACACCGAGTCGTATTAACCAAACGCACACATACCTTATATATTATTAACTGCAGGGTTCGAGCCGGCGCGGACCTGAATTCGGCAAAATAATTGGCCTGCGGTGAAGCGTATTGCACGACGATTATAGACACGTAAAAAACAAAAACCGATACAGTTTCACGATACCGAAGAAATAGTTTTGCTTCAATCAATTTTGTTTGTCTTTCGAATGTAATCGTATAGTTGGTACAGGTGCAGTCTAATATATTTTAACGTTTAAAATATGTCCACGTATACTTTATATATATATAATAAATATTATAGATATATATTATTGCGTAGCGTATATTTATTCCCAACATTTCAATTAAAAACCAATTTTAGAAGTACGCGTGCGCTTTACAAACCTTATAATATGAATATTGTAAAACGTCAATGGCACTCGGAAGTAATAGTCGACGATGTAATTTTGGAGTGTGAGTGCTAAATAATTCCATATGAAACCGCTGTTAACTTTTTTTAATTGCGACGGAAAAATCATTATTGTAATATAATAAAACTGAATTCAGGCGTATGCAGTAGTATTTCAAGGTAAATTGATAATAATAATAATAATGAGTATGAATGGCCTATACAATAAGGAAAGCAATCATTTCACACTGGGCACATATTTTGGTGTATTCAAAAAAGTGTGTATAATAGTATAATATGAGCATTATAGGTACTCTACTATAAAATCAATTATTTTGATGTTAAATTATCCTCGTACTAACTCGCATAGGAATATTTCACAAACTATAATTTTTTAAATTAACAACAGTTCCTATTTTGTTTTTCAATTTATACGATTTTTAACTACAGACAATATTGGGAGTAATAACTATAATAACTAAGGACAATTTGCACATATTCTCGTAGACTCACTAGAAGGTAGTGTAGACTATCTCGGAGTAAGAGAGTATTACCCGATTATTAGAAAACAATGATGAGCTAATAAATAAAAAAATTCATTTGAATGATTAGGTATTTCGATGTTTTTAAATTATAAGTGCTCGTAATTCTAGGTACGTTTCTTAAGTTATATTGTTTACGTGAAAATATATATTATACTTTGATGGAAGATAGGTACTTTATATATTTTATAAATTCTATGGACGTTTCGGCACGAGAATAAGGTTGTTTATTCTGAATAAATAATTTATCACTGACCACTGTCGCGGAAAGTAGTTTTAATGTAGAGTTACCATTAGCGATCTTAATAATCTATACATATTATACTTGTATTATTCACAATGGCAAAAGGCCGACGAAAAATAACACCGTAGGCTATTATATTTTTGACTTTTATTATGAAAAATTTCCATTCAGTTAAATGGTACGTATTCACCCGTAAACAGTTTCCAACCTATGGTACAATAATATTTTGCGGTCGATCTAAATATTCTACAATCTACATCCGACTACTTATTTTTGTCGGAATCGAACAATTCCACTGTAAAACATATTTAAATACGTATTTTTTATACTATTTGTCATAATATAGTATTGAAAATAAAATGTTTTAATAAATAAAATGTAAATAAATGTTTTTTAAACGTTGGCCAATTATTAGGGAGTACTCTAAACTATATGATATAGTTGACCTAGATGATGTCAATGTATTTTTTAATGTATTTTTCAACAGCACTCTACAAATATTCTTAACATGTATCACAGTAATAACTAATATAATTAGCGGTGTGTTCAACTATTCTACTAACCCGATATTCTTCTCCCGATAGTTCCATGAGCGTAGCGTTTGTTTCGACTAGATTGTGCAGTGGGTCGTCATCCTCGACCACTCGATCGGAGACGACCGCTGCAGTCTTATCGGAGGCCGACGGCGACCAGGACGAGAACGAGGATGACGCAACAGCGGCAACAGCGGCCGCAGCAGCGGCTGACAAGGTCCGCTCAGAGACGGGTACCACGCTTACGTTGACCATGAGTCGGGGAGGGACGACCAACACGCGGTTGATCTTGACCTCGTCGTATTCCAGTGACAGCCTGGCAGCGAGGTTCAGCTTGAGGTACTTTGCGAAATCGGTGCGCCGCATTTGCGCCACGGTCGAGTTGCCAGACAACAGTAACACGAACCACCGGCTGGGCGTGTTTTGATCGGCGGCCAACACTGACGACGATGAGCTACCACCATTGCCTCCGCCTTCAGCATCACCCACAGGTCCTTCGGAACGCATAGCGTCCTCCAACACGCGTTCCTGTTCCTCACTGGCTTCGTCCCACCGCTCGAACAAGCTCTTGTTACCGGCCACGACGGCCACCGTAACCGCTTTGGACGACGGTGCAGCGGCCACACCAGGCCCCTCTTCTTCAATGTCGTTGCCCGTTGGTCCTCTTTCCTTCTCTCTACCGCCGTTTTTGATCACATATTTGGTCGCCATTGTATAATATCCCTTGTTGGTGGCCGCATCGGGAGTGGCAGGGTCGTCTTTGTGGTTAAACCAGCTCTTCAGCATGTTGGCCACAAGATTCTTGTTGTTCAGGTCATGGCCATAATCTCCACCACCGATCACTTCTTGAGTGGTCGAGTCGACCACAGACGGCGGAGACGACAGCAACAATGACTGCGAAGACGACGGTTGTTCGGTGCTCGTGTAAACGACGTCCGTCCACATTTCCGGTGGTCTATTAGTGGTGGTCGGCTTCGGTTTGGTGGCCATGGCCGACACGTTGCGTCCATCGGCTGGCAGAGTGGCCACAGCAGCAGTCTGCACGTTCCAAACCGTTTCAGCGGCCGCAGCCGCGGTCGTGGACGTGTCGGACACCTCGGCCGGCGGGGTGCTGGTGCTACCATTGGTGACGTCTGTCAGGTTGCCGCTTAAGAACGCTCCTTGCAGAGTGCTGGGCGTCGGTTCTTTTAACGGGTTTGTCGCTTCGTTTCTCGACGGTAAAGTAACTTTGTCCTCGACGGCCACTCCAACGGCCGCAGCGTTCACTGTAAACAACAAAAGGAACAAGAGATTATAAATGTTATCGCCGTCGAGCACTTGCAGTTCGCACAACGTGTACGGATACCTATATTTAATTATGTTTTAAGAGTTTTCATCCAAGTTTTCCAAATTGCATTTTGACCAAATTCGGTAACCCATAACTGTATACTTATCATTTTTATATTTATTATTAATTTAGAACAATTAGCTATGTACACCAATTGTACAATGGTTTAGGTTGTGATTATTTTATTTTATTTTTATTATTTTAGTTAGCAAATAATCTGATATTATTATTTCAATATTATAAGTTATAGTTATTTCAGAGAATTGTGTGTTAATTTTTATAATAATTATGACTTTAGAAAATATGAATGCTTTTGGTAAAATAATATAGCGCGGAGTGTGTTTATTACAAAATGTGTATTAAATAAACCTAGTAATTGACAAAATATACTATATTACCTACCATTATTATTTGGATAGTTGATCATTTAATACAGTCATATACACTAGCAATCAATTATAGACTGTATTATTATTTATTAGTCACTATAGTGCCTAAGTTATTAGAAGATAATATTTTGTAGAATAAAGTATTTTTTATCAACCAACGTAGAAAATGTATATTACATTGTAATCTGATCGATGTTGTTATTATTATGTGAGTAAATATAAAACGTATTTAAACTTTCAAGTGAAAGATTTTTTTTGGTTTTTGTTATGGGGTTTCGCAAGTTTTTGTTGATTTTAAATTGAAATAAATTATTATTATTATTCACGTGAATAAGCTTTTCCGTCGACAATAGGCTATATGCTTAAACTTCTTTCTGTTTACTTTTATTTTTTAGTATTATTGTCTTTCTTAGAGTTTTTTCTGTAAAAATATGATTTGAGTGAACTACGAACAAATAATAATATATTTCCAGTCTCGGCAGTTTAAATTTATTTTTTGTAATTTTAAATGTAATAATATATTTTGGAAAAGTAACTGTCGCTTACAATTCTTTCAGTTTTCACACACTTTAAATAACGAGAACTTTATAACTTTGGTTCATTTTCAGAATATTAACGACACTTTTTAAAGCATTTCAGAATATTTAAAAAATGAATTTTCTCTAAAAGACGTGTTTTAAAAAGTTTTTCTAACGCTTTTACAAAAGTTTATTCAAAGATTCTTAATAATGTGATGGTATTTTCTTAAAAAACAAAAAGTTGTTTTAATTAATTTTTAATTTAAGTCGAGTACTTATGGATATGTTAAATTATATTTGAATAAAACACTAAAAATTTAAAAAAATACTCATTTTAATTTTAGCAGACACTCATTTCTTAACCATGTTTTATCATCAGTTCCAAGTACAAACTGTAATCACGCATAATTCATCTCTTGTATCAAACAAATTTAAGACGACGCCATTTTTAAATAAGGTTACGTTGCATAAGGCCTAAACTCCACTTTGAATCGTTATTCATAAACAATTATTTATCACTGCTTTAAAATGTTAAGACAACCGGAAAAGTGGTCGTCCAATCTTCCATCTACATAGGTAAATTAAACTACCCCTATAGTCGTCTATACTCGTTTTAAATATCTGATTTTTATTTCTCAGTGGACTTATTAAGATTTTTTATATCAAAATAATATTTCTGATTTTTATGTTTCGCTTGCATTTCTCTAATATTAAATTAGATTAAAATGAGTTTCTATAACGTGTTGTAAGCTAGTGATGATGATACAGTTTTTGCGTTTCTTTATTTTAGTTTCTAAACGAGAAGAGAAATGTATTGATTTTATATAAAAAAGGGTTTTTTAAAGTATGTTATCACTTTTTGTATAGGTAGTGGCTTTAAAAGTTCATGTTGTCCAATCAATAGATTGAAAATTGAACATAGATAGTACTTTAGTCTTTTGAGAGGTAATTTATCAATAGATTTTCAGCAAATATACCGAAAAACGGAGGCCAGACGCTTATTGAAACCATACAGGAAACCACAAAAAAGCAACATTTATGGTTTATTCCTTTTCTCTCACCACAAAATCAATTTCATTTATTTTCTTACTGTTTGAAAAATAATAATTCAAAAAGTTTAAATGCTCATCAATTATTAACAATAAAGTAATAGGTATATGGTCGATTATATTTTTTAATTGGTTTTTTCTTCAGCTTAATGATATTATATAACTATTGTGATATAAAAAATATATCATTTCTTTTTTTGTATTTGAATTATTGTTATTTGTGTATTTGTATGTTAAACATTTTTGTTTTTTTACAAAGATTTTACTATAAATTCCAAACTGTTTCCATTTCCTACTTTTAGACTATCCTTATTTTTAATATGAAATAAATAAATAGTGATTTGTGTGTCGTTATGTTTTTCTGATGAAATGTTCGTCATTATTGAGTGGATATTATGAAAAACTGGCAAAATAATTACACATCCTATAGATAACCGGTAGGACGTGTGTGGGATAAATGACGATAATTATAATTCGACCTCATATTAAATAATATTGTTATGATTAAATATTATATGGTGCACTGACACGAGTACCACATTGCAGTACATGTGAGTACGTATTACAGTATTACACGATGAAATTTGCATAATGTGCACCATAAACTATAGATTAAATGCGTATATTAAACGTGATGTGATGCATTTTTGAATACGTACCCATAGCTGTGGAATCAATGGATACCATCAGTTGCGCACAAATGAAATACATCACGACGCCAGCATGATGAAATGATTGCTGACGAAAACGTGTCTGTAATTTGGTTCCCTTCATTTTTTTAAAATTATTATTTTGTATTGTATTGTATTGTATTGCTTCTTTGTTCCGTGTTTTCGTGTTTCGTTCTTGCTCACGTTACATCTAAAACAAAATATACACATATTATACAGTCGTTAAATATTTCATACGCGCTCTATAAGAAAATATCTTTAGAATGTGTAATACGACATATTATTTTATCTATTGAAGCAGGTACCAATAGTGGAAAATAGTTACTAACATTTCCGATGATGGATTTTGTATGATACAGTGGTTAGTCTTAAAATATGTAAGTTGTATGAATATCAATAATTATTAATAATTTCAAATTTTTATACCGTTTTTATAATATCTTGAAATTACTAATGATTATATTTATTTGTATTACATCTTTAAAAATATAAAGTGCATTAGTCGTAATTTTCAATCAAAATTATTATTTTTTGTTCGAAATGATATAATACCTACTAAATACATGGAATGCAATCATGATCACATGTTGGGAAGTATTTAGGAACTTACAGTACACAAAAATAATCTCCCAACAAAACAAACAAATGTATAAGTTTTAATAAAATAAACATAAATATTTAAAAAAATTATAAGCAAAAAATTTTAATTTTCTTCCAGGGCGGTGACTCGGAAAATGTTTTAATAACTATATCATAAATGATGGTGGAGCTTAGGTGGTATATTTAATATGGTTTAGGTCATTTTTGCTAATGATATCAATATAAATGAAAGTTTAAAAATATAAAAATATAATATTTACTGTAGGAAATCAGTGAACGGAGTTAGGAGAGGATTGAAACAATGACAATTTAAAAACGCTTACCAAGTTAAAGATCGGCATCTAAACTTTCTTGATTTTTAATTTTTAGAAATGTATTAACTGTATGTAATATGTATGTATTTTATTACAATATGATTAAACTGAAATTGTACTTTAAAAAAATCGTCAATTACAAATTAATTTATTGAGAAGACATTAGATTATAGTAGAATATAGTGGGTTGAATAAAACTGGTTTGATTTAAGACTTTAAGAGGTATTAAAGTCATTTCGCATGTTTTATTTATTAAATTACCTATTTATGAAACTTGATAACTAATAGTGTACCTAACATGAATATTTTCCGATATCACACCCAAGCGGTATAAAACAATTTGAATCCAGAAAAACGTAGGTGCGAACAGCTGTGCAAAAAAAATCATTTTCATTTTTATTTAGTGAGATAGATCTCCGAAACTGGAGAGCAGATTTTGTTGTTTGGGGTCTTGTTAGATTCACATTGGCTAGGAAAAGTGCAGTGTATTCGAGGAAAAATTCAGAACTTTATCTTTAATAGTTAATTCATTACAGAGGTTTCAAAAAAATAAAAACACATTTTATAGGGCGTTTTTTGATGTTTTTCAGCTTTAAAGCTTTGTAGCGAATTAAAGATTGAAGATAAAATTCTGAACATCTTTACTGCACTTCTCCTAGCCAATGTGAATCCAACAAAACCCCAAACAACAAAGTCTGTTCTCCAGTTTCAGAAATCTACTCCGCTAAATGAAAATCAGGCGGAAAATAACTTTTTTTTAACTGTGAAAAATTAAATAATTTTTTTAAAAATGTTTAATTTCACATTTTGTATCTACTTGATAATTCCTTTTTAATTAGTTATCAACCAACTTTCTAGCTATCATATAGCTTAGGATAAAAGTTCAAAAAAATATAAATTGTTTGACTGTTCGCGCCGACGTTTTTGTGGATTCAAATCGTTGTACCGCTCATTGGGTGTGATATCAGATCTTTCTCATTAATATTTTTTATTAAAGCTAGCTTAATCACCCACCTACTCATTATTACTGAGTTACATTTTTATTATTTTCCTATTTAACATGAACTTTTGAAGTTTTCAAAATTCAGACTTTATTTATTTCAATTACTATACTTGATTAAAAATCAAGAAAATAATAAAAATAGATATTCGGAAATTAAAAACACATATCTTGTTTCCCGTTCTAAATAAGGCCTTATATATAAAAATATATTGATATCAATTATTTCCTACGAGGGTCTAAAAAAATAAAATACATTGCTGTGACGAAATTTTCCAATTCCTTAATATTTAGTTTTAAATCCCTTTACCAGTAAGTTATACTCGTAATATGATAGTATCTCATAGTGCACAAGTATTACCAATGATTATGATTCAATACATATTAATAAGATGAAAATGTCCCTGATCACATCCAATACACCGTTATTCTATCAGGTCAACCACTCATTCCCCTTCAAAATAACATTTTTTACTGATAGCCAGTTAATAATGATGACCTAAATAAAAAGACAATAATTTATGGCTTAACTTTCTGGATTTTAGATGCCGTAAGTATTTTATTTTTTACGTTGGTAATAGTACTGGGGTAAGCTAATATATTTTTAAAAGACATTATTTTTAACATGAAGTGCGGTCGTCGAGTAAATGGTTATGTTTGACGTCATTATATGTATAGTATAATAATATCCTTGCCATCCATAAGTTTGTGGATTTAAGCTACACATTGCGTGTTTTCTAAGATACGATATGCCCAATATATTCAATATTATTTCTGGTGAGAATACGTTTGCAATAATAAATCACTATTTTTTGTTTATGGCCATAAATGGACATACGGATACGGTTTCTGTGTATCTAATATATATATGACCGGCCTTTTGTTATATTTCCAAAGCACACACACCCGCGTACGATAAAAGAGAAATAGTCATCTCTTTTATTTCCTGTGCGCGAACGCGTATCCATTATCACACAAAATGCTTTTACTTTCGATCTTGGAGGTATACAAAGAAATATAATTCATTTTCGTATTCTGGACAAAGAGTGATACATCACATGAATACATCCTAGTTGAAAGCTGTTCAAATATAAAAGTTGAATGCTCTTGGTTAAATTTATTCAATTATGCGCAAGTTTTAAAGTAAAAATGTTTACATCTGATTCCTGTTTTTTTTTTTAAATTTGAAACTTGATTATTATATCAAGTCAGTATTTTTTTTTAATTTGAGTAGATTATTTACTTTCAAGAAATTACTAAAAACTCATCTAATATATTTAAATAACTAAATGTTTTAATTGAGATTATTGAAGGAATAAATGGGACTGCGTTTAGTGACTTATTATAAGTTATGTTAACCATGATGATTAGGCATTTTAGATCCTAATTATATGACAAGACGATTTTAAGTTTAACTCTGATATTATATTAATGATAATTAATAAATGATTTTAAGTAAGTTATTATACTTCGTGGTTAACATAATTTAATATTAAATGTTGTTCTTGGGGGATTTTTATGAATACAGTTAATTATAAATTGCTTGAAAATGAATTCAAGTATAAATTTAAAACGATCGGAGTACATAAATATGCTAGGTATAGCTAAAAGTTTTATCAAGTAGGTAACCATAAAGTACACTAAGTAGGTACACTGTACAGCCATATAAGTTTTTTGACTGTTTTTGTAATTAATAAATTGCGAATTTCATCTGTGAAGCTAAAAGTTTTACTCATTGATCCTTTAATTCTAATACTTTTAATGAATTAATATATAAATTTGTTTTAGAATACAAATTAGTTTAGATTTTTGTATTATAATTTCTTTATGTTAAAATTAAATTAAGTAACTACGTTTAATAAAATAATGTTGTAACAGAAAATGCTTAAAGTTGTTTTCTATTTTATAAGTTTCTAGACTTGTTAAGTACTAATTTTAAATATTGACTCTAACCATTATTTTAAATGCCTTATTACCTAATTTATATTAAATTGGATTTTAGATTGCAGATATTGTTTGTATAGCAGGAGTTGGTTTTATTACTCATTAATTTCGATAATCGAAAAGGGATGAAAATATAATGTAATTAGTGACAGTTTTATATTATGAATTGGATTTAAAAATATGAAAATTACTATCTTAATTATCTACCGATGTAATAAAAAAATGCATTAAATATTATATTAAAATATAGATTGTTATATGATATTTTGGTGTCGTCAATACTCTTATTTAGTATATTAGAAAATCACATAATGGAAATTAAAATATTTTATTTTTACTTCTTCGTGGTACATACCAAATAATATATACAGCTATTAAACTGTTGGTGTTTGTGGTGTGAATTAGTATAATATACACATTACACATGTATCAAATGTTATTATTTATTTATGCTGCGTAGAAGTATCTTAAACAAAAAACAAAAGTTACCTGCTGTTATGATTTATTTTTGATAAAATTAGATCATTAGCCATTGATATATTGACTTGTTAATATTTGTCTTTAATTTAGTGTTAATTAAACACATTCATTAACTGTTTTGTTAATTTTCTAATTTCTCGTCGATTTGAAGTTACTACTTAAACATTCACTGAACACTAAATTCGCTATCTTATTTTTATATTTGTTAAATGTTGATGAATTTGGATTTGAATGAGCTATGTTAATGTACATTATGTAATTTTTAAAATAAAATAATTTTTTATATTATTTTAATCTACCATATACATTGTGTGTATAATACTACGGTATAATACAAATATTAATTACACTCTAGTTAATACACACTGTAATACGGTATTAAACAAGGTTTATTTTAAGCATAATACAAAAAATAAGTATAGTGTTTTTTACATCACCCGTTGATGTATACATTAATAAATCCGCTTTACTGCAATATGCACAATCGGTATTTCAAATTGTGCTCAGCCACACGCGTACCTGCATCTCAGGTGGGGTTAATATTATGATTTATAATAATATACAACGCACAACCTGCACATAACAACACATGGCACATTGACGTGCCTTTGAAGAATGTGACTTGCTTGTAACGCTATGCCGGGATAATATATTACCACGGAGTTAACGTTTTTGAATAGCATTGTTAACCACCGATGTGTTATCATAACAATATATTTTAAAGCTAATGAATATTATTATTTTTTAATGGTTCTTTACGTATAT